AGAAAGTGCTTTCATCCCCACCTGGCCCACCATCTGCTCCTTGGTGCCCCAGGAGACAGCACATTCCTAAACCTGCCCTTCACACCCGAAACGCAGGTCTGTGCTTCCACAGCACAACAGAAATGAGTTTGTTTTGGGTATTTGAAATTGTAGTAGGTTTTTTTGTTTTTTCTTCTCTCTTGCGGTGATCAAAAGAAGTCTGCTGGAATTGCAGCAAAGAACGAAACCAGCACCTAGGATTCTATTTCCAGGGACCAAGAGAAACAAAGACTTTAATACTTATTTAATACTTAATTACTTATTTCCAAAGCACAGTTGGCAGCCCCACATCTCTCTGACCTCCAGCTTTGAAGGCAGGAAACCCAAATGCAAGGTGGGTGCAGGATGTGTGCTTGCACCTCACCTGGCCTTCGCCTGCTTCTCCTTACCGCCCTGGCAGGGGTGGGGTACAGGCTGAAACAGACTTGGGTGAGTTATTGTAGCTACATCTAAAATCATTTCCCTTAAAAAAAATCTAAGCCGTTTGTTGAGATATACTTCACATACAATGCAATGGTTTAAATATATTCAAAGTTGTACCATCACTACCACTATCAATTTTAGAACATTTTCTTCATTCTTATACTCATTATTAGCTCCTCATTTACCCCCAACCTCCCCCGCCACTGCCCTAACACACTGCTAATCTCGTTACTATCTCGGCAGATTTACCCACCCTGCATTTCATATACGCCAAGGACGTGATAGTCTGGCGCTCAGGCAGAGTGCCCGGAAAGTGGATGAATGCCGATGTAAACAAAGCCAACCAAACTCACTGCCGCCAAGTCCATTCTGACTACAGTGACTCTGGGGGACAAGGTAGCGCTGCCCCAGGGTTTCTGAGGCTGAGGCCCTTTCCTGGAGTCGAAAGCCTCTTCTTTCTCCCTCGGAGCTGGCTGGTTTGAACCGCAATCAGCAGCCCGGCAGCCATAAGCACAACCACTGGGCCACCAGGGCTCCTAAGGCCAAGCGTTAGGGAAAGATCTAACACTTTAGCATTTGTTTTCCCTTTCGTTCCATTTCTTTATTTAACTGGGAGTTAATACAGATATTGTTCCATAGTTCAATCACATGAAGCAGCATGGTACAGTTGCTCCCACAATCCGTTTCCAAACATTCTTTTCCTTCTCGGGCTCCCTTGACATTGTCCCCTTCACCCTCCACCCCCTCATTCTCCTTGCTGTCCCTATAGGTTCAGCCATCCTGGGTTTCATACACTGAAACACAGAAAAACATACAACTTCAAGTGGGTGACCCCAAGGACATAACACCCCTGAGATACACCCTAATATGAACAAACACAAACCCAAACACAGAAAATGCTGCAAACCAGATCAGGTCCAATGTACATCAGTGGGGGAATCAGCTGGCAGTTTTCACAGTTCAAGTCACGTTTGTCCCTTTGAACTGCCACACCTGGTCTCCAATGCACGCTGTTTAGTGACCATTTTCCTCCCATCCCTCTAGTATGGGGGAGGGAGAGTTTGATCCATTTTACATTTGCTCCAGTGTTTATTCGTGTTTTCTTTTGGATTGAAGTTTTTCTGCCTGCCTGGCAGCCATAAGGTTTTTTTTGGTGGGGAGAGCGCACGATTTTCTTTAAACTGTTCTCTCTTGATCACACCTTCTGGAAAACAAGGCTCTGAGAAGAGAAAGAGCCCCACTCACGCCCAGAAACAAACAGCTGCGACTAATTAAAGCACAAAGCAGGTGATTACTTCCTTCATTAGAGCGTTTCCGATCTCGCGGCTTGCTGTGCACTTCCGGTGAACTCCCACGTCGATGCCTCTAATGATACCTCTGTGAAGACGCATGGGTGCCCCCATCTCTCGGCCTCCACCGGCTCCATCACTGGAGTGCAGGACCTCGAGGCAGAACGTTCATTGCTGGCAACCCGCCGGCCGGTGCATGCCCAGCCCTCTGCTGTAGATTGTGTACCCCGTGCTGTGGGCTCGAACACGGGCAGCGTGTTCTGCAGCAGGCACCTCTCCTGGCCCAAACAGGGTGGTCAGTGCCAAAGGGAGCAGAGCAGGTCAGAGAGGCGAAAGGCCTACCATAGCTGGTGACCATGCGGCGATGGTGGCGACCCAGCTTCGGGGTCTAGACACCTTACACGTTTGTGACTCGAGGGAGGCACGTGCTAACAGCCTGAGTGGGAGCAGAACAGAGGGGCACCAGGAACACAACAGGTCTCAGCGAGAAGGGAGGAAACATGTAGGACGACACCCTAAGTTATGAAAAAGGCAGACTCACTGGTGAAGACTAGAGGCACCCCTGACACTAGGGCCCAAAGGTCCTCTTTCAAATTGGAGCTGAAGCCACACTCGGGCCCTTTCCATCCAAGGGAACAGATGGGCTTATAAAACAGTAACGCCCCTGAATACTGTTCCTGAGAAGAATTCCTGAAAGATAGGGCCAAATGGTCCAGGTTTATCCAAATGCAAGGTGAGATGGTGAGGAGGCAGGGACCCAGAGGAATGCGGGCAGAAGAAACGGAATGGGAAGGACACACTGCAAGAAATGGGACCAAGGTCACCACACCAGGTGCAGGAACATGGTCAGATGGGGACCTAATTTGTGGAGTAAACTTGGACCTAAAAAACAAGGAACGACCAATAAGCTAAAAGAAAAAACAAAAGACAAAAAGGGGTGCTGCTTTGGAAAGGAAGAGTTTGTAGATTTGGAAGCAATCGGTTGAGACGCTGCAAGATGGAAGGGGGAGTCCTGGGCCAGGCCAGCAGATCCGGAATCATTGGTACATAGAATGAGTCCCACCAAGGACGGCCCAGGATGCTTATCCCTTGGAAGTAGGAGAGATGCCGGAGACTGAGGTGTGCAATACAGCTGGCACATTCATGACACAGTACGAAGTGGGCCTTGGCTCATGGTTCTGGAGGAACGAGCCTGGGCTTTAAGTGGCCTGGAAAAGAACAGAGTTGGAAAGAATTGCCATACCTTTGTAGAGGCATTTGCCAGTCTACTGCACCAACACTCAGAAGTCAATGGCCCGCTCCGCTGTCAGGAAGGGCAGTGGGACTGGATGGGAGTAGGAGGGCACGTGTGGAAGGCATCCCAGGAAGCAGGAGCATGGCCATTCTTCCTGGACAGAGGCACAGCGGCGTTTGGGGGATGGGAAGAAGACCAGGGACGGATGGAGAGGGAGAGCAAAGGCTGAAAGGCTAAGCAGACTGCAGGTGGCAGAAAGGGGTCCCTCTGTCGGAATACAGGGTGTGGTTGGCGGGTCACAATCACTGAGCAGCTCCGCTTCCGAGAAGGCTACAGCCAAGAGCACCCTGTGGCGTGCAGCTCTGCTCCAACAGGAGGGACTGTGACCTGAAATGGGCTGGTTCCAAAGCAGCAGGTCCCACACAGCTCCCGCCAGCGAGCCAGAGCAGCCAAAGGAACGGCTGGCTGTGACCCTCTAAGTTACAGTGCTCAAGGGCTCTAGATGTTGGATACTGACTGGAGTTGCATGTAGCAGCCACTTCCTGGACGCTGCCAACAGTGAGCCTCTTCAATGACTCGCTGGCAGGCTGGAGGTTTGTGCTGACCTAGAGGTGCCTCAGCAGACAGGCCTGGTGATCTGATTCTAAAAGGTCACAGCCTTGAGACCCCGTGGAGTTCTACTCTGCGCGCATGGGTCCCCCCCCAGCACCCGGAACCCCGCTCCGTGGCAGCAATGTGCAGGGGAGACGGCCGCTGAGCATCTCAGTCATTTCTCATCCGTAAGACGGAGCGAACAGTGCCTTCCTCAGGGGAAGAAGAGGGGGCTGAGAATTCACTGCTCAAAATCATCAGAACAATAGATTCCTCCTTACCAGTTCCCTTCCCCAAATATAAGGCTCACACCATGAGGTCTTACAGCATTTATTCTCAGGTTCTTGATGAAAGCACACTCACAACTCAAGATACGCCAATGTATCTAAAGGCAAGACCACACAGCAAGCCAAAGCTGCCCCTAGCCCCTCCCTCGAAGAGGAGAAACTTCAGGAAGGAATTTCCACGTCCCAGTAGTTTTGTAATTATCCACTTCCTGCCCCATCCCACCTTGCCTCTCCCCCAACGTCCCTGACAAGGCCGTGTCTTCAAATTGTGTGTGGCTCACTGATCTCCCTGAGACCAGGCTTTCCGGAAAGACATTAGCCCAGCTTCACGGAGAAGCTGCGACAGGGTGGCTTCCTTCCCAGCTGAGGCTAGCTTTCTTCCCCCGCAGACCTTAGATTCTAACGAGGCACTCTGGGTCCTGGATCTGAAATCAAGTGAGCCCCTGGCCTGTGTGCTTGTCTGTCTGTGTGGCGTGTTGCAGCGCAGCTGGTCTGGAAGGGCAAGCACAGTGGAAGTGAGACGGCGGGTTGTTGAGCACACCACCACCAGCTCACTGGGGAGGAGACTGGGGTACAAGGTCTCAGACATGCACGTCGCCAAGGCTGAAGAGTTCAGAGCATTCAAATGCCTGGGCCTGAGACTGACACTTCAGTCTCACAGCTATTCCTCCTACCCAGGCTTAGGGATTTCTGATGTTCATTTCTTTCTTCTTTTTTTCTTAACCCTAACCCTGGGAACTCTGATGTTCAAGACGGAACCCACTCCCAGGAAATCTACTGTGGGCGCCCGAGTCCCCTGAAGGACTCTGATGGAAGCTCTATCAACCGGGAATCACAGGCACCTGGATGGGCAGTCGCTGTGATGGCTCCCTTTCAGACCTGAAAGACCTCCGAAAGTCACAATATCACGTGTGCTGAGCAGCTTTTGATGACACTCCACAGAGGGGTCAGGAAGCCCATCTGCTCTCTGCTTGCGAGCTTCTCCCCGCAGGTGTGCTGTTCCACCAGCACCATGTAGAGCAGTGGTTCTCAACCTTCCTCATGCCTTGACCCTTTCATACAGTTCCTCATGTTGTGGTGACCCCCTCAACCATAAAATGATTTTCATTGCTACTTCGTAACTGTGATTTTGCTACTGCTATGAATTGGGCGATTTCTTTGAAAGGGTCGTTCGACTCCCAGAGGGGCTGTAACCCACAGGTTGAGAATCGCTAATGTAAAGCATCTTGGCTTGGCTACCATGTGTGGCCTGCTTTAAGAAAGCGAAAACAGTTGGAGGGAGCCTGGTCCCCCTGAATCCTATGATAGGGACTAGTGGAGGTCTTGGGGGAGGGACTGGTGCCTTGGCTGGGGAGGGGGCAGGGGGGCGCAGGGGGTTAGGCAGCAGCCTTTGCTGCTGCCCGTGCCTGCTGCTCCTGTTTTGCTTTCTCCCTGTACTCTTGTTCCCTCTGAATCAACTGCACTCGGTCCAGATGCCACTGCTGCAGTTTCTGCTCATAGTTGGCCATGTCTTCTGCTTCACAGGCAGGTAGCTTGTCGTGGATGAGCTTGGTGGTCAGAGTCAGCAGGCTTTCTGACTCCACTTTGCCCAGAGCCTGGAGCTTAGCATGTAAGGCCTGCGGGTGGAGAGGAAACAAAACCAAACAACAGGAAAGATGGGCAGCAGGTGGGAGAAGACTAGAGAGAGGCAAAGAGAAGAGAGCATGTCACTTGCAAAACATCCCTGTAGGCTGCTCGTAGTACAAGGTGCTTAGTGGGGAATGTCAGGTGGCCTCGGCTTTGGGCATCAATTTCGCAGTGATGCGAAAATTCAACGGCACAGCATAAGCTCGTGACTGCCTGTGTGAGTTCTTGTTCTAAGCCTCGAGGGCAGTGGAGTCTAGCAAAGCCATGTTCCCACCTGGACCCACCCCCAAGCCAAGCAGCGACCGCCGAGAACAAAGAATTCTACGATGCGAACAGAATGGCAGCAGCACCGATAAACAGGCGCCCAGCCATAGCTTTTCCTTTAGCATAACCGGGCGCCTGGAAATCATTTCAAGGATTTCTTACTAATGGCATGCTAAACAGCTCCCAGGAGTGCTTGCGCTGTTATAAGCTTCCACCTGCTGTGTCCCATGGCAGGTCAGCTTTTACATACTAACTGCTTACAGCTCCATCTGAAATGGCAGCTTGGTTTGGTCGGTATTGTGTTTCTGGGGAGGAAAGTATTAAAAAACATTAATCTACTTAAGTGCTTCAAGATGGAAATCATGAGAGAGAGAAAGAAAGCCATTTCTGGCCCAGCTGTAGCTTAACCATGCATCCCTGTGTTCCACAAACAAATGCAATTAATTGGCATAAATGACGAGGCCTGTTGCTGAAACAGGGGTGGGAGGTGTGCAGGGCCCAGGGGCATCAGGGAATGCCCAGAGGCCAACTGTGAAGAGTCAGGCATTTGAAAATTAACCCCGAAGAGGCAGTGCCGTTCAAGGAGCCAGCAGGCTCCCAGGAAGGAAAGGATTTCTTTTGGACCCTGCTCTTCACAGGAGCTGAGACCGAGAGACAGTTTGGGGCATCAAAATAAGCCTCTCCTTGGTCAGCAAACTCCGCTCCAAACCCAGTGTCTGGCTGTGGGCTGGCTTATCTCAGCCTTAGTGTCCTGTCACATGAGAAGGAGCGCTTCTAACGCCAAGAGCTTTCACGAAGTTAAGTGAAAAACACTAAGTATTTGTCTCTCTCTCCTTCTGATTTTCATGAAAATGCATTGTGGAAGAGTGAGGGCTGACATTTAATGCAGTCACAGATTTGCACTCCTGGAGATGAAATATAAAGGCCACCCGAGAGAAAGGGTACGACTTTTCCATGCGGCAGGGCAGCCCCGAGTCCTTTTCTCTTTGTAAGCCCTTCCAAAACCGACTGGCAAAGTTAAGAGAAAAAGGCAGCTCTGCAAATTCCCCATCCAACTCTCTTGCCAACTCTTGGCAGATTGTGGAAAAACAGCTTACCCTCTCTTCGTTTCACGATGTGAGGAGAGAAGGATCAGAAGAAACAGCTGCCAAAAAGTACAAGAGGGGTCCCCTATAAAATGAAGGACTCGACTTCCTATAGCTAATTCACAAGCATCTCAGAAAACAGGTAAACAGAATAATCTAGAAAAGGCTACACATTTTGGTCTCAAAATGACTCAACGGGTCACTGGCCTGGGTAGGAAGATTTTCTGCTACACAGGCAGCTTATTTTTCTGTCTGCACTACATAGACCAAAAATAAGCAAGAAACAAGTTGGGAAGGTAAGCACTGGACATGGCTCCACTTTCCTCTCGCAGTGCATTTGGGAATGTGTAGATGAACGCTGCCCAAGGCCGCTGAGTGCTTAGAGCCGTTGTTCTGGAAAGAACCGGCACAGACACATTTCATCTTTCATCCTCATGGCCCAGGGAACACTACAAAGCTGGGCAAGAGAGGGGAAAAGGACGCCTGCACCTTCTCTGGATCACTCAAATGCGGCTTTCCACTTCCCATCTGGGGCTCTCGGTCACACGGTGTGTGCCTTCAGGGGGAGTGCTTGGTACCTTCTGCCCTAGGCTGGACTCGGCCAACTGCGGCAAGTCACCAGGCCTTCAATCAGGCACAGTCAGGGATGGACGGGTAATGACACGCTGCCTTACTGAACAAGACAGTGACCGATTAGCTCAAGTACATAGGGAGCATAAAAATTCATTTGTTTCTTGGAAGACCACCTCCTGTGTGAAGCAATAAAATGTAGTTGTTGATGTCAGATTTTAATGTCCCCGAGGGGGCTGCCTGACTGCCACCACGCGGAGGATGCAGTGTGGCAGATGCCCGGCTGAGGAACTCTCAGGTCTGCTCTGACTCACCTTGAACTGGGCCAGGTACTGGGGCAGCCTGGACTGCTCCGTCTCCTCAATGTCGAGACGCTCCTGCAGGGTGTCAGCTCCCTGGGGGCCTTCCCCTCCTTGGGACTGTTCCTCGGAAGGCTCCTCGGCTGGAGAAGTCAGCGCCTCCAGCACCACATCCAGCACATCGAGCTGAGGGGCAGAAAGGGCCGGGGCCTCGTCAGCCATGGCCTTGAAAGCACACTGGAGAGAGAGGCTGAACGGAGAAGGTGGTGGGCGGAGAAAGGGGAAGAGCAGGCTCTACAAAAGCCACGGGAAGATTTCCCTTGTAAAATGGCAGGAGCTATAAACGGTCACCTTGCGTCACATCCCTCGTGTCAGGTGGCATGGAGAAGTGAGTGCGATAGAAATGGTGCCAATAAGCAGGTGCAGAGCTACTTGTGTGTGTGCATCAGTGCCCTGCACTTGATTTCGCACCGGGACAACCAGGAGGAATCCAAGGATTAGGCTTGAAGGGCACTGAAGTCCTTCTTCCTCCTCCTAGCTTTCTTTCTTGCTCAGTCAGTCTGGGGTGCAACCAGGGGGGAAGACCCCCACCCCCCACCCCCGTCCAGGGATGACACCCAACACAACGCTGTTGTGTACGTGCAAAACGCAGGCGAGAGCCTCTCTCAGAGATGCTTCCATGTGTAGGGCAGCTACAGATTAGTAGCATAATCTAGCACATAGGAGATTCATTTTAAGGAGGTGATTTCTGTGATTTAGAGATGAAGTACATTATAAACGCGGGCTTATTTTGGTTTTGTGGCTTCCTCCACCACTTTCACATTGTAGTGTACCTCCCTGGATCCACAGGTCTAACCCTCCTGAGGCAGGCAGAAACAACATCTGGGCCTGAATAGGCACCAGTATGGACACCGATTAACTCTGTATTAGAACAAGAATCAGAGAATACCCCAAGGCCCTTAATACCACCAATGCAGGGTACCCAAACCCAACCTAGCCAGTTCTTGCCAACACAGTTTTTTTGCATTCCTATTACATCAGAACACAGTGTACACATCAGCTCAGGATGGAAGGGGTATTTTCTCAGGCACGCCTCACTAGGTGACCTGGGTAGGTCCCAAAGACCAGGTTATATGTGGAGATTGGTGTTACACAAAAATGGAAGCTCACCACATCAGATCATAAATTGGAGGACGAGCAAGCCCTTCACGTGACTGCCAACTTACATCACTGTACAACTGCCAGACTTCTGAGAATCGTGGGCCAGTCACACTGAGACCTAACCTGAACTATGACAGCCAGTGTTAGTGTGCAAAATAGTTGAGTTGGATAGAATTTTTGTTACTGCTATTATATTAGTTTGTGTTTTCAGTCACTAGCTATGGCTAAAGTATTGGGAAAAAAAGCATCTCAAAATGAAAGCCAGTGATTGGGGCCAAGACGAGATTAGCAGCTAAAAGTCAACCTTCACAAACTGGTAGCAAAAGGACCAACATCCTTCTAGGCCTCGCTCTGGCTAGAAGAGCTGCTGGGAGGGGAGCAGATGCTAGGGCTCCCTGTGGGGTGCAAGATGCCCATAATCTGTCTCTGAACGTCCCGGTGGCAAGAGCCAACAATGGGATGGTGGGAGGGCACTGTCTTTGTCCAGGGCAAGTTTGGAAGGAACGTCAGACCGGGCAGGTGTGGAGGGACACTTCTTACTTAATTTGGCTCTTGTACCAAAGTCTCCATAACTCTCATCAAATGACTAGATGGGACTATGCAAACTGAGCACGTGTAACTCTGAAAGAGGGGACTGGTCTGTTGTGGTGACCACTCCCCCTTCCCCCGGGTGATCAGGATGAATCAAGAGCAGCTCAGAGCTCTGTATGAAGTGGCGAGGCCAAGACCTGAGGCTATGAGGCAGAGGCCCATGGACCGTGTGTCTGCAGAGCAGACTGAGGCTTGGTTGTTGGCTAAGAAGAGGTGTTGCTATGGGCCAATGACTGTATCCTTACTGTTTACTGATCTTGATTTGTGGTCACCTGTTGACTTCCCAAATAAACCCTCTTAACTGTGAGTCACAGCTAGCATGGATGCAGAGTGCTGTAAGAGGAATGGGTAGGGGAGAACCGGTAAAGAAGGATGGAGTTAGGAGGCATGCCCGACCCCTGCCTCATGGCACTAGAGAAGCCAGCGGTCAGAAATGCTCCTCCCCGCTCTTCCCCCATGGACTGCAACAATGAAAAAAAGAAAACAAGACTGTGCCACCTCCAGCCCCCAGGCTCGCTTCTTGAAGGCTTTGGCGGGAGAGGGAAGAGCCAGAATATAATGGGTAGTGAATCAAGACTATATGAAGATGCAGGGTGGCACAAAGTACCAAACATGAAATGTTACCGGCTTTTGAGCTCTCCCTTGACAATGTTTTCAGGACAAAGGAGAGCGGGTGGGCAGTATTTGGTTGAACTCAGCCTGAATTTCAGCTGGCCTCTTAGAACAATAACCTGTAGAACCAAGATGAACCTGATTTTGGCTGCTTTTTGGTCAGTAACACCGACTTTTCTGTGGTTCTCCTTTCCTTTCCAAGTTGTAGAAATACGTAGTCTATTGAATTAAAGGAAGTAAGGGGCAAGGGAAAAGACAGCTCTGATGGAGAACAGGGGAGGGCTAACCCCACTGAAGTGGAACTTACCGCTTCTCGACAGAGCTTCACGTGTCCTGGCGCGGAAGCTGCTGTCTCCATCACCTGCAGGGCTCTGCTGAGGTACCCCGGTTCCCACAGTAGAGGCATGTTGTGGTACACGGCCCGCAGCCCTTGACGCAGCTCCACCTTCCCTGTGGTCAAACAACATCATCAAAGCCAACGCCCTTGTCGTCTGAGCCTGGGCACGGGCTGCCTGGCAGCTCTAGAAAGAGAAGGGCCATTTCCCACCTGGACCAAGACAAGCGCTTCAGCCCTTCTAAGGGGCGGGTGAAATTTCAGACAGCCCATGATGCATGTGGCAAAATGAACCGTGTACATTTTTAATACAGGGCTGTCCCTTCTCCTTCTCTCGTACGTGGGCAGACTGAGATCACCAATGAGGATGTGTGAATCGGGCTGAGGGAGTTTTAAAGAAGTGGAAGTCTGTCTCTCAGTAGGAATACCCTTAATAAAGAATGGAATGACTGAAACATTCTTTTTGTTTCAAGAATAAACAGAAACAAACAGACCCCAAGCTTTTCTCCAATGGACGTCTTGTCAGCACTAACAACTGTCAGAATGTTCAGAGGGCTCTGAGGGTGAGGCCGGGGATCACCTTCCTGATTTCCCCTTCCTTGGAGTTCTTAAATCATTAAATACTTAGCGTCATTTTGGACCCCAGGACGCAAGCATTCCTCTCAGTATGGCAAACCAGCATGCGGCAGTTGCAGATGCTGGCGCCCGGCAGCAGGGTCCTCAGGTGGGGGGATGGGCAGAGGCCCCCTCAAAAGCACAGGACCAGACAAGGGTTATCTGTGGGAGCTCTCAGGGGCTTGGGGCTGGATGGCAGTCACAGGCTGAGTAGTTGCTGCCATCAGGGCGTGGATGAGGTGAGGCCAGTGGGTGGCTGCCCCTCTGACCCCTGCTCCTCCTCCTCTTCAGTAGTGAATATCGTGAATAACAAAGCACACTTCCCTAGCCTGACAGCTTCCAGACAACAAGAGCCCAGAAAGGTAACCTGACATGGCTACCACTGGCAGACATGGCAAATAAGGGGAAAGTGACTTATAACAAGAGGGGTCACATTTAGCCAGTCTGACATCTGAAGTCCTTCCCGGAGTCAGTGTATCAATGCCAGCATCCAAGATGCCACGCTGCATTTTGTCCGTGGAGACCAACTTTCAGAGCTATCACGTGCAGAATTTCTGGGAAACAGGCAAGGCGCTGCCGTGCTGGGGCAGGAGCAGGTGCTTCCTCCCGTCACTGTCAGAGGGTGCCCAGGCCTGCTTTTATGACTACTAATGAAGGTAGCATTGGCATTTTACTAGCAAAAGTGAAATCAAATTAGAATTTTACTGTGAAGCAAAGGAATGCACCAGTTCTGTGGATGAGAGGAAGGGGGCCACACAGCTTACCCAGCAGTGCGCAGCCATACAGCTGGGAGCTCAAACCCACGGAGTTCTCCTGCTTCAGGCCAGGGAGGAGCAGCGATGCCCCGAAGTTCCTCTCCTCTTCCCACTGCACACGACACACCAGGTCAGGGGCCAGACACACAGTGGACGGGGTGGGCCAAGATGCAGTTTTCATGGCACAAGAGGAACATAACACATCAATCAGCAAAAGATGTCAATTTTTGCATATAAATGATATTGCTGTTTCAATAAAAACCGAGAAAAGCAGTGCTTCTATGCTAACAGATTTCTGGGAGGTGCAGTTGTAAGTAGCTTGGGGTTGTGTCTTCGAGTTTTTGAAATTGTTTGCAATCAGTGACTGTACACTCTGGAGCGATGGCCCAGCCCCTAGGGACAGGCAGTAGTGGTCCCACAGCCCCTGGAGAGCACACTGTAGAATGCCAAACAATTCAGCGATGGCGAGACACTCCTTCTCAGGGTTAAAATAAATACCACTATTAAGCTGCTTTTAGAAAGCTTTATGGCTCTCACAACAAATTAGAAAATCAGAAACACTTACGGATAGTTTCTTTCAACCCAGGACACAAACCTGTATTTCAATAAAATTGAAGCCTTTTGAGAAATGGGGTGAGGTGGAATGGGGAGGTAGCAAAAGACACCAGCAATGCTAAGGCCGTTGCCAACTAGTAACAGCTGTGGCCCAGGGACCAGCTGCACACACAGGGAGTACTGGCAATTCCTCAGGCAACACCTTGCTGGCGCCATCTGAGTCCACACCGACCTGCTCGGGAGCACTCGATCTGGCTCAGAATACAGAGCACAAGCCCCAGGCCGCCCTGCTCTGTTCTCTGCACACAGAGGTCAGGCTGAAGCTGGGAATGAATGGGGGCTGTTGACTCCAATTGTAGCCAGGTGGAAGGGAGGCATCCCAGGTATTAATAGGCACCCAACCCTCTTTACTGTGAGTGGCTTTTGTACAAGGCAATTGTAATTTCTTCAGGTTTTTCTAAACCTTTGAACAAAGCAAAGGCCTTGAGAGAAAAACAAAACCTCCCCAGGCACTGCTGTGCACAGATAGCAAGAGAGCTGTAATTAAGGCCTTGGTCATTTTTTACTTTCAAAAGCAAATGACTCTAATCCAGGGAGGTCTGCGTAAAAAGTGAGGTTAGGGAATAAGACAGAGAGAGTCTTAAAGATACAGTGTGTGTGTGTGTTGTGTGTGTGTTGGAGGAGGGCAGCATTAAGAGAAAAACATGGCCTTTAGTATCAAGATATAACAGGAGCTGAAAGCCAAAGGAGAGAGAACACACCAAGAGACAGATATCCTCGATGGGCTAGGGACTGGGGGAAAGTGGTGATGGCGAGTGGGATGGCAATAGTTCCACAACAGTTTAAAAAAATGGAGGAAAACATGCAAACAAACAGGGAAGTCTGAGAATACAGCAACCGTCGCTGTTTACCTGTCAGACTATTTAGTGTACATGTAAATATTTGGTAACCAACAAACACATAAACCAACCAACCAAACTCACTGCCATTAAGTCAACCTCAGATCCAGCAACCTGACGGGACAGAACAGAGCCACCCCACTGGATTTCTGAAGAGGCCGTGGTAGCGCTGGGCAAAAATTGGCCCGCAAACTGCAAGTTAACTGCATGTTCAAATCCACCAGCCATTCTCTGGGGGAAAGGTGAGGCTGTCTTCTCCTATAAGGATCTGCAGCCTTGGACGCTTCCCTTTCAGGGAGCCTGTTGAAGCCTCTGTGCCAAGGGACTCTTCTCAACCCTTAACTCACTATCATACAGAGTATCACCGATTGAATCAGGTGTTTGTTCAGCCATATCCTCCAGGTCTTACCAATTTAGGCTTTAGATTTTCCCACAGCAAATCCTCTGTCCAACTTGCCCTCCTGCATTCCCCTTCACAGCCACACCTCTCAAAAAAGCTGTCTCCATTACTGCACCGCTAACTCACGCCATAACCTACTCCAAATTGGCTCTCTATATAGAAAATTGCCATTACTCTGTGGAAACAAAGGTTATAATTTAGTGCCTCTAATTTCAATGTCAGCAAAATATTGAATGAAGGAGGAAGCATCAAAAGAGAAGGAATAGAGTAACTGTACTACAAAGAACTGGCCACCGTTCGACAATTTCAGGAGGAAGCAGATGATTACAAACGGAAGGTACTGAAGGAGGAAGTCCAAGCTGCACTGAAGACATCCGCCAAAAGCAAGGCTCCAGGAATTGATGGAATACCAGCTGCAACGTTTCAACTTACTGGTTTGTGCCAAGAAATTTGGGAGACCAGCAACCTACCGGAAGAGATCCATGCTTGTGCTCATTTCAAAGAAAGGTGAGCCGGTAGAAGGCAGAAATTATTGAGCAATACTATTGGTATCACAGTAAGTAAAATTCTGCTGAAGATAAGCAGCCGCAGCAGTACACTGACAAGGAGCTGCCAGAAACTTAAGCCACATTCAGAAGGACACAGAATGAGGGATTATCACTGCTGATTTCAGATGGATCTTAACTGAAAGCAGAGAACACCAGAAAGATGCATAATTGTGATTTATTGACTATGCCAAGGCATTCGACTGTGGAACCTATCAAATTGCAGATAACACGGAAAATAATGGGAATTCCAGATCACTTCACTGTGCTTAAGCAGAACCTGTACACAGACCAAGAGGCAGTCTTTTGAACAAAAGTGGATACTGAGTGGCTTAAAATCAGAAAAGGTATGCTTCAGAGTTCTATCCCTTCATCATGTTTATCCAATCTGTATACCGAGCCAGTAATATGAGAAGCTGGTTTATATACAAAAGAAAGTGCCATCAGGACTTTGGGAAGGCTCATTAATAACCTTTGCCACTGGATGACACAGCTTTGCTTGTTGAAAGCAAGGGGGACTTGAGGCACTTGCTGATGAAAATCAGACTGTAGCCTTCAGTGTGGATTGCAACTCAATGTGAAGAAAACCAAAATCCTTACAACCAGACCAACAGACAACATCATGATAAACAGCGAGTAGAGTGAAGTTGTCAAGGATTGTGTTTTACTTGGATCCCATTCAATACTCATGGAAGCAGCAGTCAAGAAACCACAGCACATACTGCAGTGACAATCTGCTGTACAAAACGCCTTTACCATGTTAAATAGCAAAGCCGCCTGTCAACTGCTTCTTACGTAGGTGAAGAATATTGCAGGTACCATGACTGCCAAAAGAACAAATCTGTCCCGAAAGAAGTACAGACAGGATGTTCCTTAGAAGTGAGGCAGCAGGATTTCATCTCATGCTCTTTGGGTATGATACCTACAAGGAGAGCCCAGTCCCGGGAAAAGGACATTAGGCTCGGTAAAGAAGGTCAGCGGAAAGAGGAAACCACTCGATGAGATGGACAGGCACAGGGCAGCACGGGGCGGAACTTTGCTCTGGGGTAGCCAGAGAGGGCTGCTACGGGTCAGAACTGATTTGGCAGCAGCTAACCGCAGCAAATCCACTGTCACTAACGCCGCTAAACCTTTTTCAAGTCTTCATACACCTCTCTCTTTTAGGAAGCATTTTACGTCACTCTCTTTCTTCCCCGCTTTTGTTGTCCAAAGTCTGGATTTTTCTTCCCATTGCTTTCTGGCTCATTTGCAGGTGTGTATACATGAACATATGAAGTAAATTCCCCAAATACAATCTCCAGCCCAGTTTTCCCCATTAAGCTGCCAATTTTCCTCTTGACATCTCTTTGACTGTCTCCAATGTATCTAAAAATGTAATATAAACAGAGCCAAATGAATCATTTTCTCCACAAAACTTGTTTTTTTTACAGAGTGCCCTTTACAAAGCAGGGAGCCTCTTCTATCAGGATCCATGAGTCAGACGCTGAAGGAACAATGTTTGACGGCTTCTCTGCTTTCGCCCGACTCAGCGCATCATGCTACTTGCCTCCCAACTACGTCCACCGGTACTCTGAGTCCACCACACCCTAGTGCCCAGGCTACCTCCGCCTGCCTGCTGCTTAGTTATCCCTCCCAGGACCCAACTGATCTATCCACACTCATTCTGGCCCCACTTCAGTCTCTTATGTGTGCTGCAGTCAAAGGGACCTCCTTAAAACACGAATCTGATCAGGTGACCCTCTCTCTTATCTGTGGCTTCCATTTTTAGGATGAAGACAAAAAGGCATCGTATGGCCTATGTCCTCCAACCTCATTTCACCCATGCTTTCTCTTTCTTACTTCTGGTTACCCTCCTTCAGCCTCTGTGAGGTCCCCATGTTCTCTCTGCCACCGGGCATTTGCATGAGCTGCTTCTTTTGGGATGACACTTCTGTTCTCAGCCAGTTAATTCCTAGTCATCCTTCAAATACCCAAGAATTTTTTTCTTTAAGGAATTTTTTCTTTCTTAACCTATCTGACTAGGCTTAAAATACAAACAAAATCTTTCTACAATGTAGGCCTTTCATAGACCTTTTAATAGCACTCATGAGATTTATAATTTTATACTGAACAGATAGGTCCATTTTAATGACTGTTGTAAATTGGTTCTGACATGAGGCAAATATCTCATTCCTCCTTCTCATTATTATTGCCTTTTAATATCAGTTTCTTTATAAATCTGATCTTCACTGTCTTTGAGGGATAGAATCACTGCATATAAAATTAAGATATATTTTAATACACACACATGTATTTCTAAGGACAAGATGTGTCAAACACACAGATATACAGACAAAAAACCCATATGGCCTTTTTATGAAAATGGTGCTGAAGGCAAAGAAGGAAGCCCCTGCCTCTCCCCAAATGGAAGCCTCCCAAAGCAAAGGCTGTAAAAGCCAAGAAGGCCGTGCTGAAGGACGTCCACGGCCACACACAAAAAGATCCTCATGGCACCCACCTTCTGGTGGTCCAAAACCTTGAGACTAAAGAGCGCCCCCCCCTCCCCCCCGAGAAACAAGCTGGACCACATCAAGTTCCCCTTGACCTCAGAGTCTGCCATGAACAAGATCGAAGATAACAACACACTTGTGTTCACTGTGGATGTCAAAGCCAACAAGCACCAGATCAAACAGGATGCGAAGAAGCTCTACGACATTGACGTGACCAAGGTCAACACCTTGATCAGGCCTGACGGTGAGCAGAAGGCATATGTTCGACTGGCTCCTGACTATAACGCTTTAGATGTTGCCAACAAAATTGGAATCATCTAAACTGAGCCCAGCTGGCTAATGCTAAATATAAACTTTTTGAATACATTAAAAACATACAAACCATATGGTCCCAAATGAGGTTCATTATGAGGTGGGGACTACCTGTACTTCCCTTTGCTTTGTTAGTAGTAAAGTGTACTTTCTTCTAAGATTATAAGCAGGAAATGTACTAGCATATACTTGCTTACCATTGTGCAAATAGCACCAGTGATATACAGGATGTAGCAGTGTTCAATAAATATATTGCTTTACCAATTATGAACTGTAACATTGCCTGCAACACTCATCTTTGAAGGCAAAACACATGTATTTTTTAGAATGTGGGTTAAAACTAGAGGTTTCAATGTTACATTTGATGCTAAAAGCAGACAGTAGAACCACATGGCTTTGCCGCCCGACCTGATGACATCTCTGTGTCTCTCTGTCTTCTTATCTCAACAGAGCTGCTTTGAGTATTAAATATATAAATAAACGGAATGTAATAAGAATAGGGTCTGAAGTACAAGATGAGTCCACTGAGGTAGGTCCAATCAGCAGAGTGGGAACAGAAGAAAAACTATTTAATACATAATTTACGGGTTGAGGGACAGGCACACAGGCAGGGGATAGACCAAGCCCAATGTTGCATACAGCTTACCAACATAAAGAAGGGGAAAAGTGTGGAGGGGCGGGCGAGGGGGTGAGAAGAGAAGAAAAACAAGGGGTGGTGGAGATGAAGGCATTGGTGGGGAAGGAGGGAACAGGGCACTAATCCACCATGGGGAGGGTACTATTTATGTCTCCACAGGAAAGGGAGAGAGGGACCAGACCTCAACTTGGTGCGCCAAACCTTGAGGGCAACATGCCGGTATGAAGCAGTGAACTAACAGAGAGGTCAGAGGGGCTGGCCCCTATCCCAGCCAGGTCCACCCCCTTCCCCAGAAGAATGCACTACAGAGAGTAGCACTGAAGATACAGCCTGAGGAGAGTGGAGAGAAAGAGAGAGAAAGAAAGAGAGGAGAGGGGGGAAGGGAGAGGGGTGGGGGGGGGGGGGAGGGAGAGAGAGAGAGAGAGAGAGAGAGAGAGAGAGAGAGAGAGAGAGAGAGAGAGAGAGAGAACAGCATCCTAGCCCACCAAGCTTCAAGGACAACATTCCTGGTTGGAGCAGGCAATGCAGAGAGGACTGTAGGGTCGGCCCCACCACAAGACACGATGTACATCCCCTTACTGACCCACAGAACTACTGGAACAACACCAGGAGAAACACAGTGCAGGAATTATGCCCGGTCTGACCCCGACCAACACCAGGGTATAGCACGAAGGGAGCACAACAGAGCAGCACGGGGAGCAAAGCAGCAAAGTCCCCGAGGGTTCTGAAAACAGACTTCAGACTTGGAGGGCAAGGCTTGGCACGGCATCAGACCCGACTGGAAAACATTCATAAGCATCAGCAGACAGACCTGAAACTATTCATAGGCTAGTTTTTTCTTCTTTTCTTTTTCATGTCTACATGTCTATCTACATAATATAGGCAGAAAAAAATCTCTAGGAGAAAACAATGGGACCAATGGTTCTGGGGGCCCAGGGGAGAAGGAGGAGGTGGGGGATGGGGAGGGGGAGCCAACAAACCCAGGGACAAGGGAACAACAAGAGATCTAAAATCAATGGTGAAGAAGGCAGAGAACACCTGGTGAGGTTCCATCAAGTGCAATGCAGCTGACAGGAAATACGGAGAGCTAAATGAAGGGCATAGTGGGACAGGAGGAAAGTAAAAGGAAATAGAGGCAAGAGCTAGGAGGCAAAAGACATTTACAGAGGTATAAACATAGGCATGTACATATGAAAACATATTAATATGTAATGATAGGGATATAGATCTATGTACATATATTTATAGGTTAAGTATTAGGGTAGCAGACAGACATTGGGCCTCCACTCAAGCCCTCCCAAAATACAAGAACACTTTGTTCTAATAACTGTGATGCTCACCTTCCCGTAAGATCACTGAAGACAAAATGGGTGGATAAGCAAATGTGGTGAAGAAAGCTGATGGTGCATGCCTATTAGAAAATATAGTGTCTGGGATCTTACAGGCTTGAAGTTAAACAAGTGGCCATCTAGCAGGGAAGCAACAGAGCCCACATGGAAGCAGCTCACCAACCTGTGTGATCACAAGGTGTTGATGGGATCAGGGCATCAGAAGACCCAAAACAACCAACTATTTTGATGTGAACGAGCGGGTTGGAACGGAGACCCAAAGCCCAGCTGTAGACAACTGGACATCCACTCACAGAAGGGCCACAAGGTAGGGACAAGCCAGCCAAGATGCAGTATAGCACCGAAGAAACACACAACATTCCTTTAGTTCTTTAATGCTCCCCCTATCATAACCCCAGTTCTATCTTAAAAATCCGGTTAGATCAGATCATGCACACTGGTTCAGATAAGAGCTCTCAACACACAGAATCCAGGACAGATAAATCCCTCAGGTCCAATAATGAGAACAGTGAAGCAATAAGGGTAAAGGGAAAGTGGGGGGGGACAGGGGGGAGCAAGGGGAACCAACTGAACGCAATGATCAATGTACATCTCACCCCTCCATCCCCAAGGGGGATGAACAACAGAAATGTGGGTGAAAGGAGACAGCAGACGGTGTAATATATGAAAATAAAAATAATTTATAAATTATCAAGGGTTCACAAGGGTGAGAGGTTGGGGAAGGGAGGGGGAAAAAGAGGAGCTGATACCCAGGGCTCAAGTAGAAAGAATGTTTTTGAAATGATGGTGGTAACCTATGTACGAATGTGCTTGATACAATTGATATGGATTGTTATAACAGCTGTAAGAGCCCTCGATAAAATGATTAAAAAAAGGACACAGTCTGATGTCATATAAGAGCTAGTTAATTATTGGTTATTATTTTTATTCTGAGAATAGCAATAAAAAACAATCACATGTCCTAAATTAACAGCTGAACCCCAAACCTGGTATACTAGACCTTTCAGAGTACTACCAAGCCAGGGCAATCTTAGGAAAATACAAACTCGAATTAAATAATCAATATTTAATACCTGAGTTTATAATCAGTTAACTGCCTGCTTCTTTGATGGGCCACAGCCAGTTCTGACTGAGTATTCACAGCCCATTTCAGAGTGGCTGAGGTTCACATTCAGCGTAGCTCACGTTTCATGTGGCGCATGTAGACTTTCACTGTTGGTGTCCTGAGGCTAAGTGTGTAGACAGCACATGATCACTCGTCCCTGGTTATGCGCTAATACCTGCCTTAGAGTCCCAGAGCAGGGGGTTCCTCTGGCCACCTCCTCACTCAGATTGGTCACCTCTGGCTTTTTCCCCAAGCCCTCAGGCAATGCTTTCTGGGAGGTTACTTACACTGAGGTCTGGCTGCTTTGCCAGGTTCTGGTATAAAACATAGAGGGAGAGGAGTTGGGTAGAAGGCACTTCAAAGGCTTCTTGCATCATGATTTCAAAAACTACAGCTAAAGCATCTGACAAAAGATTCAAAAATAAAATGAGATTACAATAGTTGTAACATTGTAGAGGCATTCTATTATTTAATGAGGCTCTTCTAACCAAAGTCTCTAACTCCTGACAACCAACCTTTTCCTGCATGGGTCTAGCAAGAAGGTGGGGGGAGATACTGATGGGCTTCACCTGTGAGTCACTGTGAAAAGGATTCCCTGAGATGCCACCCTTCTGTGTATAAAATGAACCCTCTGGGAAACAAGAGTGGATTTCATTACCAGCAAGAGCCAGGAGGGGAGTGTGTCCTCTGGACCTGAGATCACTGCACAGGGAACCTCCTGGGTGCAGAGACACGATACCACCAGAGGAGCAGCAGCAGAACCAGGAGTCGGAGCATGGAACAGAGCGATGGACTTCCCCCCCCACAGAACAAGTCAAGCCGGGTGCTTTGTGCAGGAAGCTGGCTTGTGGACTAGGATGCCTCTGGGCACTTACTCGGTACGCTGAGCTTGCTAACTCACTGAGCTTGATTTACTTCATTTGGGTTGCGGTTTACAGCAGAGTGGGATGACCTCTGGGTATTAGCAGACCCCAAATAACTTTGTAACATGTCCTGGCAAGCGTTTCTGAGGATTTCTCACTTGCGTTACAACCTGTTGACTTCCTTAATAAATCCTATAATCGTCAACACTGTGAGTGCTGTGTAGTCACTGCAATGGATATTACCACCTAGATAGGAAGAATGCTACTTAAGACAAAACAACATCATCAAATCTGTACTTAGGTATAGACACTTTTACAATTAAATGACAAACGATCCGCATTCTCAGAGAGCGGGGCAGGGTAGAAAACATGCCGAATGGAGAAGTGGAAAAGGAGCCCTGTCCTCAGTTTTCCCATATATCGGGCCTCTGCCAGCCTTTTGCTCCTACTGTGCATGCCATGTTTGACAAAAGCAGGTGCGGTTGTTTACCGCAAGGTGTGGTGCCTGCTGCCATTCCCACCTCCCCCTGGCCGTCCCTGCTGTGGCTGGCAGGGAAGCATCCTTGAATTTCGTGGGGTCAGAGAATTTGAGGAGTAGAGAGCGCTCAGAGATCCACTTCCTTCACACAACTACAGAAACAGAAACCCAGGAAGGCGAGCTGAATGAGTGACTTCCCTTCACTGACAGCCGCTCCCTCCAAGGTAAGTCACCTGGTGACACTGCCTGACATTGTGTGTAACGACTGTGACGCAATAAAATCAAGGTGATTTCACAGCAAAGGCTGCTGTAAACACAGACAAGTCAATGACTGCATTGTGCTAATCTTAAGGAGCCACGGAAGGCCAGGCAGGACACACTGTTCAACCCCACCCCACCTCTCTGCCTAAAAGAGGGAGCCTGAACAAACTCCAGAAACCCATTAACAACGGCTGTGGGCAATCAGCTTTGCCACAGAGTCTTTTTCTTTCTCGCAGCTCTTCCTGGCTGACATCGCCAGGCAGAGGTGGCAATAGGATACCAAACGCATGCTCACACTTCCTTTGGGAAGCTGGAAGCCCCATAATAGCTGGACTTGGGTTTGGCTTCTTACCTTTGTGATTTTCTTTCTTTATGAAAGAATCCAACAGTATATTGAATGTAAAGTTATCTGGAAAAATTCCATACTGGACCTGTATTGAAAATGAGCATGAGAGAAAAATCTCCATTTTGATTCAGTCTATGATATATGCATATATTATAAAATGTCACTATTAGTTTCTTTAAAGGTTGTAGTCTATGGATAATATCTCTATTTCCCAAAGCAGTCACGCACACCAGCCCTGCTCCCCAGGGGCAGGAGAAAAAGAAAGTGTTTTAGAAGGACCAATCATTAGAGCTGGAAAGGTGGCAAGATTCTCAATCCTGGGCCTTCTAGCTCTCATCACCGACTCTTTCTCGCCTTCCTCTTAACCAGCGGCTCTCAATCTCTGGGTCGTGACCCCTTTGGGGGTCGAATGACCCTTTCACAGGGGTCGCCCGTTTCATCACAGCAGCAAGATGACAGTGATGAAGTAGCAGCAAAAATAATGTTATGGTTGGGGGGGGGGGTCACCACTACACGAGGAACTGCATATAAGGGTCGCGGCCTGAGGAAGGTGGAGAAGCACTGCTCTTAACATACCTTGTCGTCTTCTCATGTGTTATCTAGTTCGTTCCAACTTGCCCGTTTTAGAGTGGAACTGCCTTTCACAGAGGTTTTTTAATGGCTGTGCCCTTTTGAAAGCATTTTCACAAAAACACTGCTAAGCTCTCATTATGGAGTGAACTCGTGTTGTGGCACAAACCCCCAAGAATAGCAAGCTACAGCTTTGTTTACTTTGGACTTTTTATGAGGGGCTTCAGAGAGCTTGTGGAAATGAACAACTGCTCGGAAACGGGTCACAGGCAGGCCTGGATAGAGGGAGAGAAAAACGTGGAGCAAAAACGAGACCAGGCTGACTAACTGGTTGGATAGGGCTGGTGGTTCTGGCCTAGAAAAGAACTCACTCTCAGTGGTTCAAATTTTGCCCAAATAATAAGCAGATTTATTAAAAGTAGTGAGGAACACACATCTTATACTAATCCATCATTTGAGATCAAAAGACCATTTCCCCAAGAACCAAATGTCCCTTGACGGGGAAAGCAGGCGTAATGGGAACAGGAAACACAGGTGGAAAGCCAGAGAAGTGATGTTACATTGTGGGATTGCAATTATGAGATGACATAAAATAGGTACAAATTGCTGAGTGAAAACTTGATCTGCTCTTTAAGCCTTCACCCAACGCACAATAAAAACTTTAAAAATAAGTAAAAAGGAAAAAAAAGTTCATGGGGAAAAATGGAATTAACAGATAGTGGAATCTTTTTCTGAACCTTTAAATATCTGCTCAAGTTTCACGTTATTCAGGTAACAGAGACTCAACGCTGGGATGGAGTGCAGTGCTCAGGAAGATCCTGATCATAGGGTTCTTGGGCTCTAGGGAAGACTCATCACGAGTACGCACGAACACGGCCTTGCTTCCCTGTGCCAGCTGGTCTGCAGTCTGCGTACTCTGGAACACGGCATTCCAACAGCAGTGGTCATGTTGTTTCTCTAAACTCGACCAAAGGGAACCAGGCAAAATTCTAGGGCTGAAAGATCCAGGATAAAATGGCCACCAGTGCAGAGTTCTGATTAGATTACCTTTTGCTTTTTACCTATTGTTATGAATCGAATGGTATCCCCCAAAACATACGTTGTAAATCCTAACCTCTGTACCTGTGTTTATAATCCCATCCAGGAAAGGGCTTTCTTCGCTATGTTAATGAGACAGTTTTACATAGGGTATGTTTGAAGTCAATCTCTTCTGAGATAGAAAAAGAGATGAACCACGCCAGGGAGCAAGCAGAGGAGGGAGAGAGATGGCACGCCGCCACATGAAGACTGCCAAGAGCAGAAGCGCCTGAGTCAACAGTGGGAGAAAGCCTTCTCCCAGAACAGCGGTTCTCAACCTGTGGGTTGTGACCCCTTTGGGGGTCGAACGACCCTTTCACAGGGGTCGCCCGATTCACAGTAGCAAAACTGGAGTTCTGAAGTAGCAACGAAAATAATTTTATGGTCGGGGGTGACCACAACATTAAAGGGCCGCGACATTAGGAAGGTTGAGAACCACTGTCCTAGAGTCAGCAGGCTGAATTCTGTCTTCCAGCCTCTTAAGCTGTGAACACATCACCTTGTTTGCTAAAGCCCCTCACTGGTGGTGCTTCTGCTGTAGCAGTACTAGATAGCGAAGACATGGTCCACATCTGAGTCATAAGGCTTGAGAAAGCAGTGGCTATAGGAATTTAAAACTTTACATTGTAGACTGATTGATATCCAGTCACTTTCTACAATGGATTATCTGGGATCAAATAATTAAAAACAAAAACAAACCAAAAAACCCAAACATTTCTTGTGCTATTTTTCTTGCCACACTATTACATCATCACATCCTCTAAACTCAGGGAAATTAGCAGCAGAGGCCAGGAAATCACTTACCTTGTTTATAAGGGTATACAAAGCTTTGTCATGTGCTCCGTATTTTAGACACTGCCTAATCCAAGTGTGGATCGTCCAGTCTCTCAGGTACCAGCAGTTGGGGCTGTGTCTAAATCTAAATAAAGCACAAGAAGAGAGAAAACTAGTGTTAACTCTTTAATGCTCATGCTAAGGCACATTGCCCATCAGGTCTTTCTCCTGGATATATACAAATGTACAGCAAGGTGATCAATTACCAGAGAAGTCAAAAGCCACTACAAACTTAAGGATGAAACTTATTATAAAGTCTAAAATGGGGAAAGAAATGACAAAATAGTGATAAATAACAAAACAGAAAAATGAATCCTTTATTGAACAATCTTCCAGCTTCAAACACTTGTTTAATGTAAGATTTATGAAAAATTATTTTGGGAAAACACTCCACTGATAAAATGAGCCACTGAATAAGAAAAAGGAAGGAGGAGGAGGAAGAGGAGGAGGAAGCAGCAGTTGAGCACAGGCTGGCAGGATCTAACATTCAGGCCTTCTGCGCCCACAATCTTCCCCCCGCCACCCCCCCTCTTAACTCTATTCCTGCCTTTCCATCTCCTCTCCCTTCCTCTAGCTATGCAGGTCTGAAAGCCTTGGCAACCCAGGCTGAGGCTTAGCTACTAAAGGTAATAGCATCCCCACAAAGGAAGGTACTTGGAAAGAATGCGGAATGCTGGGTTGTTTTGCTTCACACAGACTGCTAACTCCTGGGTTGAAGCTACCCTCCCTTGGTCGGTGGAGGCCAGGCCAAGGACTCTGAGCTGAAACAGGGCAGTGGGGAGGCTTCGTAGGCCCTCTCTTTTGTGGTATATCTTGATTGAGGCAGATCTTCATACATGCTCTCATGCCAGTGGAAGGCCAGCAGTTTTCTTTAACCAGTCAGGAACCAGGCCAATTCCTGGGCCCTGCTAAAGTCAAACTGTTTTCTTTAACAAATAACAAAATAAATAAAACAAAAATAAACCTTGAGCTAAAGGATTCTCTACCTTATCTGAGGGTCAAGAACACAAACTAATCCTTGCCTTTTTTTCCCCCTCTTTTACCGGTGGATTTTCAATTCACCACCTGCTAGTTCTGCTACCTGCTATTGGGAGAGCTTCCTGCTGAAGAGGATCTCTGCCAAAGTTAAAGTCAAGAAGAAGGGGGGGGCGGATCTATAGCAGGGTTTGATTAGTAGTTTAAACTGTTAAACTCAGAACTGATGATCCGAAATGCAATCCAACTAATTCGAACAGTAAAATAAAATAATCCATGCTATTAAAAAGGAAGATAGAAAATGAGTAGTATTGGGCCGAGGCTATTTATCAGTGGTCTGGTGAGAGATTTGGCCAAATCAAGTCACTTGGTGCTCCCCATTCTTTGGAGTACCATAGGTTTGGCTGCAAGAGCTCTCTCTTGCTCAATGGTTCTCTACAGAACTAACCGCTTTCTAAGCAGACACAAGGATGGGACATTATGTCCAGGGTGAGAGTGGGCTGGCCAGAGAAAGGCATTGTACCACTGCCCTAGGTACTAGATCTCACCAGCTCCCTCACAGACACATGAAATGAGGCAGACCTCCCATATTTCCCATTTTCAAACACACAACATTCCTTTAGATTGCTAATGTTTCCCCACCCCCCACTATCATGACCCTGGTTCTACCTTACAAACCAGGCTAGACCACAGCATGCACACTGGTATAGGAAGGATCTCTCAACACAGGGAATTCAGGGCAGATAACCCCCTCAAGTACAGTAATGGGAGTAGCTATACCATGAGGGCAGGGGGAAAGTGGGGAGATGGGGGAGAAAGGGGGAACCGATTGAAATGATGGACATATAACGCCCCCTGAGGGGGATGAACGGGACAGCACAGTTAACACGGTTATTAAACGGGATGACACACTCATCATTTTGTTAGGATCGGCGGCACAGGAAGACTTTCTGAGGCATTAGTAATCTCATCACAGCACACCCACAGAAACAGTTCAACAACAGTACAAGGTGGGATAGGAGAAATGCTAACTATACGAAAGGGGCAGCTAGAGACCAGTGGTTGTTGTAGTCTGAATGGTCAGTAAGGTTGGTCCATCTTTCCTTAAAAACAACAAGCCAAAATAAACATGGCAACTACCTTCTTTACCTGTGACCACTAACATTGGAACGTTTCTGTTTGATGGACATTAAATTACATCTCACCAAACATCCTTTCCTCCTATCAGTGATCAAGAGACCCTTTCAGGAGGTAAATAAGCACGATGATGCTTGGTAGAGAGAACAAATCAACCTAGCTGTTGACCTTCAAATTACACAGTACAATGTGCTTGCAGTCATTTGCTAACCTTCCGAGTCCAACTTCAACCCACCGAGAAACAGAAAAGTCTTTCCTCTTCAAAGTAAAGCGTTCCTTCTCACACTTTACTCCTCAGGAGCCTAAAGACTTCACACAACCAATCAAAGCACAGAACTCTGATACCCAGAACAGAAAACATCTCTCCTTTCCACAATTTATTTCTTAGGGGTCAAAAGAGGAAGTTACTCAGGACCTGATCCAACCAATAGAGTCATCTGCACACAGAAGCCCTCTGAGACGTTTGTCAACAGACTCAAGGAGCTGATAGTAGCTGTCCTCCTTCGCCCCTCTGGAGCAGGGCACCTGGGATCTCTCTGCTCTCTAAGACCTCCCAGTCCAGCTACACAGTCATGTCCGGGTCATTTCAAATGAAGTGACAACACTAAATCAGACTAGGCCCAACCGTGAGCCCCCAGGCACTCATTGTAAGACATGCTGCCAGACTCCTTTCCAGGCTGCCATCAGTGCTGCAAAGAGAAGGGAGCTCCCAGTTTATGGGAGAGGCCAACTGATGAAGCACAGGGGTAATGGGATTCCATTTGGAATGCGGTGAGAGGGGCTGTTGAGAGTCCCTATGCCCGTGGCTTTCTGAGCAGCAGTGCTAGGGCAGGCGCTTGCCTGGAATGAGTCTGGGGACTAGTGGACGAGTATGCTCCCCTTGAGCCAGGAGACGAGCACAACTGACAGCCGGACTTGCCAATCTGCCGGCAAACAGACAGGCTTTTGTTCCTGCCTGCTCTGACCACCAGCCTGGCAGACTGCAGACGGCCACTGTCGGAGTGCCCTGTGCTCACCTCGACAGATGCGTCATTACTGCCCGGGCCGGCAGTCTGCCCAGCGAGGCACACCGTGTGAGTGTGGACAGGATAAACAAATGAAGCCCAAATAACCCAACAGTGCTGGGCCCACAGCGGCCAGGGCTTCTTACACAGAGCTTCACCTTACCCAACTGGAATACACTTTCTGTAATCTGAGGACATGTGGGTGAGGGGGCTCCAGAAATTTCATGGAAAAATGGAATGAATAGATTAGTGGAAGTTTACCAGGGACTTTTTGAAGCCCCTTTGTATTCCTCAGAAGGGGAAAACAAAACAAAACAAAAAACACCCAACTTCAGTGCCACTGAGTCGATGCTGACTCACGGGAACCCACAGGACAGGGCAGAACTGCTCCTCTGAGAGCCGAGACTGAAGCTGTGTAAGGGAGTAGAAAGCTTCGTCTTTCTCCCAAGCAACTGGCTGCTGGTTTTGAACCGCTGACTTGTGTGGACGGCAGCCCACTGAGTAAGCATTACACCATCAGGGCTCCTCTTGCAGGAAAGAGGGGCATACAAGGGCCCAGGCTGGGCTCTGTCCACAGTGCTGAGTGGGGCTTCCAGGGGAAGCCAGCCCTCCATTAGGAAGCCACATCGTGGCTGGCCCAATGGCAGGAACTGACAAGCATCCTTCCTCCCTTACTCAGGACACACGTCACCGGGAAGGAAGCTGAGCAGAATCACAGGCTGCAAAACTGACCCATGGACAAAAGTCTTAGAAGTCTTTGTGATTTCTTCGATGGGAGGAGAGGTTACATAAAAAGAGAATCAAGAGTAAAAAGAGAAATACACCAGAGACTAGGTAGCAGTCACATGGGACTTCTTATGTGTGACTAGTTCATTTCATAAAATTAAGGGGGGAGATTCGAATAAAGGCTCCATTATAGTTGAATGGCACAAGTGACGATGCTCATTGGCTCTTTTAATATCACAACCAACCGTGCTGCAGGCTGAGCAGGCTGGAATCTGCAGCCCAGCAGCCCCACCATTAAGCTGTAGCACTGGCTCTTCCGTATGGATGAGCAAGCTTTCCACAACATTCATCTGATTATGAGAGCCACCAGCCTTAACCATGCACACGCAGCCTCCCTCCCTCCCTCCCTAGTGAATTCTGTATCCTATGGCAACAGGCTTTCGAGATGGAAAACTCAGCCCCTTAGCTGGATAGACATGGAGGGGGCGAGGGTACCAGGAGAGAAGGAAGAAGGCCGGCTAGCTACGAAGCTTGCTGTGTGGGTGGCCATCTCAGCAAGAAAGTAAAGCCTGCACAGAGGGCGAGGTTTAGAACTGCCCTCAACTGGAATCAAACAGTAAAGAGACATTTGCTGGACTGTTTTAAAAGCAGAATCTGATCTGCTAGCTACTACTCATTTTCTCCTACATCCTCAGGGAAACTCTGGTAAAAAAGTTAGTTGCCCCAACTCCCATACATAAAATTCATTTTTGATGAAATATTTCTCTATTGAATATATTTTTGCCAAGTGTTTAAAAAGAAAGCAGAGGAATTCTTGGTTGTAAAAACAGTTCAGTGCTAGACTACTGGCCCAATGGCTGGGGGTTAGGACCCACCTAGAGGCACCTTGGCAGACAGGCCTGGAGATGTGCTTCCAGGTCACAGCCCTGGCAGCCTGTGGAGCAGCTCTACTCTGCACACACGGGTTGCCA